GGCAACAGACCCGTGGGTCAGCGAGAGAAACTGACAGTGGAGTGGGAGGAATTTCCCCCCAGGATGCCCTCGAGCTTGGGTACCAGAGTGCAGGAAGGGCTCAGCGCCCAAGGGAAATCAGTGCTCACCAGGCCTCTGGGCTGGACTTAGGTGGGGAGGGAGGAGCTCTGGCACAGCACTGGCCATGCATGCATGCACGCACACACACACACAGGCACACATAAACAAACACGTGCATACACACACGCAAGCACACATACACAAACACATGCACGCATGCACATGCACACACTCTTGCTGTGCTCCCAGCACAAATATGTACCCCGTGCTGCTGCTTCTACTACCCAGCAGGAGACGGCATGCCGAGGGTGAGCTGTCCAGGGGGGGCCTTCCTTCTTCTGGAGGATAGGTGTGGCTTACCCATCCTTGTATCTTCCTATCCCCTTCCCATTACTAGGTCTTCCAGGAATGTTTATTCAGTTGGTCCAACAGACCTGTGGAGCCCTACTATGTGCTAGGTACCTGGAAAGTTTGAAGAAAGAGAGTGGGAGGGCGGGAAGAAGAGAAGGAAAGAGAAGCAATGTAGGCAGAGAAGAAGGAAGGAAGCCAGGGAGGGAGGGAGAGCAGGAGAGGAGGAGGGAGGCAGAAAGCAGAAGGGAACGCAAAGAAGCAATGTGTCCACAGCAATGTCTTCCTTGAAAAGTATGTATCTGGGATGCGTGCATGCGCACGCGTGTGCGTGCACCCAGAATCATGCACACTAGCCTGTGTATGTGAGTTCCTGCTGGAGATGAAGAGCTCCCAACATCCACCCCAGAGCAAGAGCACTGTCACACAGAGAAAAGCATTCTCTGACCATCCAACTTTCAGTCTAAATAACCGTACTTGAACCTGCAGCAGAAGAAACATGGGTAGGACTACAGAACATCACGGCTGGGAGGCACCATTCACTCCACTCCCCTTCACACAAGAGGCAGCCTCAAGAGCACAGAAGCCAAGAGCACAGGCTGCCAGGGTTCCAATCCCAGCACCATAACTTACTATCTGTGTGACCTTAGGCAAGTGACCTAACCTCTCTGAGCATCAATTTAGTCTTTAATAAGATAGAGTGATGAATAATAGAGCCTACATTATGGAGCAATTATAAGAAGGAAATAAGATAACGCAAGGACAGAGCTTAAAAGAGCACCTGGCAGACAGTCAGCACTCAGTGCATCTTGGCTGTTATGTGTCTGAGGCCAGAGGAAGGAGGAGAGTGGCAAGATCAGGGGCCCAGCCCTGGGGCTTGGACTCCTGGCCAGGCACTCATTGGTACTGGGGATCTGAGGAGGCCCTTCTAGCCCCAAGGGGGCAAATGCTCTTGGTCCCCTTTCCTGCTCCCTCTGCCCCTTTCCCTCTCCTCCATGCAGAGCCTGGCACCCTACCTCCATGATCCCCTCTAAGCCAAGACGAGGCTCCTGGCCTCCCTGCCCCTCTCCCATAAGGCAGCTTCCCCCACCTCTGCTGTGGCCACGTTTACCCAGCTGACCTGCCCTGGCCAGCGCCCCACAGCTCAGCCCCCAAAGCCTGCCTCCTCCCAGCCTCCCCAAGCAGCCCCCTCCCTGCCCAACATATGGATGGCAGGATTGGGGGGCTGCAGGAAGGGATGCTGGGCAGGGGTCAGGGGGACACCACATATAGACCTCTCTATACACTCCCGGCCACAAGCATGGCCACCTCAGCCCATCACCCACAGCCCTGCATCCCACCCGCCTGATCCGGGGCTCTGGGATTGTTCTCCTGTGCAGGGGTCTTATCGACTCTCATTTTCCCTTCTATCCTATCCACAAAATATGTCCTAACACCTCCTCTGTGCTAGTCAGGCCCTGAGGATTCACACGGAAGACAGTGGCTGGGCCCTGCCCGCCAGGGGCAGCAGTGGGGCTGGATAGTACCCACACCAGCACTCCTCAAGTCCCCCAGACGGCTGGTTGAAACACGGAGTGCTGGGCTCTGTCCCCAGAGTTTCTGATTCAGCAGGTCTGGGGTGGGGCCCCAGCTTTTGCACTTCTAACCTTCCCAGGTGCTGTGGTGCTGCTGGGCTAGGAACCCCATTTTGAGAACTGCTGGTCCACTGCAAACTGTAACTCAAGGCAGCGTGAAGCCAGGGCTCTGACCAGCAAGGAGGAGAGAAAACTAGAGAAAGGGCACACCAGGCAGAGGAGCAGCATAAACAATGGCCTGGCACTCCAGGAAGTTCTGGAGTGAAAGGTACAGGGGGGCGTGGCCCGGCAAGAGGCTGGAAGGGCACGTGGGGCCAGGCGGTGAAGGGGCCAGTGAGTGGCCACACCCCTTCCCTCTGGCTCACCACACAGTTCCTTTGTGCCAAGTGCCCCTGGCAACTCTGCAGGCTCCTTGGGCTGCAGCCCAAGCCCATCTTCCCCCTCTGCAGAGACGCAGCTCCCCTGCCCCCGGCCTGGCTTTCACAGGCTGCCCTGGGCGGCTGTCAGTGTCTCTACCCGCCCTCCACGGGCAGCTCCCTTGAGCTGCGGGAGCCAGCCCCGAGGTGCCAGGGAGGAGTGCCAGGTGAGCCAGCATGCGCAGTGTGGGCGTGGGCAGCTGGGGAGGAGCATGGGCAGCCCGCCGTGCCCCCGCCCCCATTTATCGGCTCCCTTTATCAGCACCAGGATCTGGGGCTGGGTGTGTGTTTGTGGCCGCTTTAGCCAGAGCAGTTACTATGGGTAGATAATAATAGCAATCGTAATCCCTCATAATTGGACCCGACTTTGCTGTCTGCAGGGCACTTCCATGCCCATGACCTCATCTGACTTCCACAACCACCCTGTAAAACAGGCACGGCTAGAGTTACGATCCCCATTTGACAGCTGAGCAAACGTAAGCCCAGATGGCCTGAAGTCACATCTCCAGTAAATGGCACACTCAGGCCTGGGACCTGGGACTTCTGACTCTTGGTCCAGTGCTCTTTCTCTACCCTGAACTGTCATAATACCGAGCCTGAACTTCTGCTCTCCATGGGTGGGGGCCAGGGGCTCTGCTGCCCAGGGCAGCACAGTCCAGTCACCGGAGGAGTTTGGCCCGGCTGTCCCCATCTTCCCCACCTGTGGGGGCCAGCTGACCACCAACTGCAAGTGCATGGACACAGAGCTGTGTGAGCACCGGTCAGGACATGGGACTGGGGGAGAGGAGTCAGGGCCACCTAATCCAACAGAGGAGCAAAGCTAGGCCCAAGGAGGGGAGGGAATTATCCATGGCCATGGCTGCCACTTGAGAACACAGGTGGCTACAGGTGGCCCCAACTCTGTGGCAGCAGGGTCTGGGTGTGCTGCTGCCTGAGTCCTGGGCAGGAGCAGCCCAGAAGGCCCATGGGATAACCTGAACTACCTATTCTTTTTCCATCGGGTCAGAAAGAAGCGGGGACTGGCCTGTAGCCCCTAGCAGCCTCGCCCAGTGGGCTGCAGCATAACTTTCTCCCCAGCTGGCTGGGTATACACCCCCCACATGGCACTCTACAGGATTCCAGGCTAGGAAGCCAGGTGTCTGGGTTTCGTGCATCCACGTGCGTGTGTGTGTGTGTGTGTGTGTGTGTGTGTGTGTGTGTGTGAACGTGTCCATACCAGGACTCACACAGGTGGGGCAGTGGGAAAGGCTCCAATCCAGGAGGCAGGAGATCGGGCTCTCATCTGGACCCACCACTGAGAAGCTGGGCTCAGCTTCCTCATCTGTAAACTAGGGCCATCTGTCCTTGCCCACTTGTTTCATGTGTTGTCCCGAAAGGCCAAAGGGATGGAAACCACCCAGAAAACAGAAACACGTTCTAAGAATGAGTGAGCCCGGGAAGGAGCTGAGCACCCGTGGAGGAGGGTGAGCAGGGAGCAGGTCTCGGAGCTGCCCTCACCGTGGGCCAGCAGAGCTGACACTCCTCAGAGTGCTCAGGGGCCCCACACCTGGTGCCAGTTGTCCTCCCTGGTTCCAAAAGGCCAAACGATGTCCCATGAACATGCCCTGCTACTCCCAGATACCACCAAACGTCACCACCCCTCACCCCTGTGGGAAAGGGGAGCAGGCAGACGGAACCGTGGGGACGAGGGCACAGCAGACAGGATGCCTCAGGAAGGCCCGCGGCCAGCACCACTTCCCCAGAAGGGTGGCGGCAGGGTTTACCATTCCACCAACAGATGGGGGGAAACGGAGTCCAAGTGTTGGGGTTCGGATGGCTTTGCCTACAGGTGGACTCAGCTCAGTGAGGTCCCCCAGGCAGCCTGTCGGGACCCGGCAGGGATTCCATCAGTCGGCTGTGATCTCCTCCAACTGATTTAGGCCCTTCCTGGAGCTCAGCAGAAGGGAAAAGAGGTCACCCCTCATGGGGCTCTCAAAACAAGGAGGTCACTGGCTCCATAGCCAGAAGTGACACTTGCTTGGAGCCTAGGGTGGGGGTGGGAAGCAGGAAATCACCGTCTCCACGATGACTGGTGTCACCCTGAGCACACAGCACACCGCAGTGAGCCTGACTGTCTGTGTGGGAGGGGGAGCCCTCACGCGGCCTCATATCTACCGAGCCCCCTGAACTTGTCTTTGGCCTCTCAGAAGCTACTGAACACCCTGGGGAAACAGAGGCAGCTAAAACAGGTAAAGTGACTCTTGAGGACACACAGCTAGTAAGAGGCTGATCCAGAAAGGAATCCAGGTTTGGGGACTGTCTGCAAGGCTGACCCCTAACAATTGCACAGACCTAGGGTTTGAACCTCTGCTCAAACACAAGGGGGTCAAAAGCTTGGGTCCTGGAGCCTGACCGCCTGGCTCAAATTCCCGCTCTACCACCAGGACTTAACCTCGTCAAGCCTCAGTTTCCTCATCGCCAAAACAGAGCTATCAGTCCTCCTACCCTGTGTGAGACTGAGCGGCGCGGTCCAGCGCTCAGCACACCTGAGCTGTCATTCCTGGGGACCGGCCCTCCCTCTCTGGTTCCAGCCAGAGGGTCCCCAGCAGAGCCAGCTGCTCACCTTGCGGTCCTCCTCCCGCTCCGGAGCGGAGCTGCTGGTGTCCCCGGGGCCGCTGGAGGGCATTGCGGGAAGCTGGGCGGTGGGAGGCAGGCTGGGGCTGCGCGGGGCTGGGGGGCTGCTGGGCTTTGGGGAAGGAATTATCGTGGTCTTTGTAAGCAAGAGTTAAAACTTAGACATAGATCCCGGTGCCGAGTGAGACTCCAGTGAAACGCTGCCTCGGGCTGCCCGTGGGTTTGGGCTTCCAGCGGCTCCACCTGTGGGGGAAGAGAAGAGGGCTCAGCAGGGCAGGGCACCCCCAACCCAGGCCCCATCTGACCCCCACCCGCTCCCCTGACTAGGCCCTCAGCCCCAGGGCCACACTGGCCTGTGGGGCCTGCCCCTCCAACCTCACCCCTCTTTCCCAGCCTCACCGGCAGCTCAGGCCAGCCTAGCACCCCAGAGAGTGGGGGAACTGAAGCCAACTCGGCTGGTGCGGGACTGCCTGGCTTCCCTCAGGGCCACCTCCTGTCTCCAAGGCGGCAAGTCTCCCCAGGCCTCCGCGTTGCTGTGGCACAGTGGGCGCCACTTCTGGGACTTCCAGCTGCCTCTCGCCTCCTCCCTTCTCTTCATTCACGTCTGTTCTTTCCTTTGAAAGCTTCCCGCACCCTCCTCCCACCCCAACCACCCCCTGGGAAATCCCAGAGGTCCCCAGCCCGGCTACATTTTCCTTCTAATCTGTCCTCCCCACACGCCCCCACCCCCACACCGCTCCCACCACGTGGAGGAAGTGAGCGGCAGGCACAGGATGTAGTGAAATGAATGTCACCTCACTTCAGGACCAGCCTGGGCCCAGAGAAAGCTGAGGTTGAACTCAGGCTGCGGCCAGGCTGAGGGCCTAGGTTTGTAGCGCCGTCGAGGGGATGCCCTGATGGGGAGAGGCCACAGCCACGGGCACGCTGAGGGAGGACGCGAGGCTGCTCTCTCCCCTGCCTCATGAACCGGCCCCATTTGCCTTCAGAAACTGGTGGGCTTGAGGGGGCCCTCTGAACCCACACAGCTGAATTTTAGGGGCTTTTCATCCTCCCTGCTTCAGGTGTGGGCCTCAAGCCAGTGAAATTACAAAGCCCAAGCGGCAGGCCTCAGCTGGGGGTGGGCGCGTTGCGGCTTCAATCCCCTTCACTCAGAGACAGAGTTCTCCTGCTCCCCACCCCCCAGGAGGAGACATGGGCCAAGCCCCTGCCTCCAGTGCGCCAGCCAGGGCCGGGGAGGGGATTGGCAGGAGAAGGAAAGTGGGAGGCAGGCTGGATCTGGGCCCACCCACACCCTTCCCCTTCCAGTTCCCAGTTCCTGGTTCTGCTTCCCCCTGCTCCCCTCCCTCTTGGGCTTCTTCTCCCATCCCCCTCCAGCCAGGGCTCCCTGGAAAACCAGGAACCGGAGAAAGCACAGGCTTAGGTCTCCTGCGGGCGTCGCCCCTTCCCCAGGGATGGGTGCCTGGCCGGAAGGGAGGGCGGTGCCCCAGTCCTGGCTCTGGCCCCGGTGTGGATGGGAAGCTGGTGCTGGGAGGAGCCTCCTAGGGCCAGGACAGGAGGGGCCCCATAAGTTAAAACCAGACAGGACAAAGGTGCTCCACACCCCACAGGTGGGCCCGAAGGAAGCTCGGGTGTAATGACACTGCTAAGCTCAGCACAGTGCGGGGCTCAGTGAATGTCTGCTGCCCAAGTGCACGAGTGAGCGGAGGGCAATAGTGAGAGCAGCCCCACGTGTCAGAGGCTGTGCTGAGCACATGACAGGCATTCCTCCTGCGGGCAGCTGTGAGTGCTGTTACTATACCTAGTACAGTTGAGTTTGAGACTCCAAGGGTTAGGACTTGTCCATACGCCAGTGTCAAAGCACAGGCTTGAATCCAGATCTCTGACTCTAAAGCTCTGAGGGGGTCTCGACGAAGCTCTACCCCCCAACTTACACCACCCACAGAAACAACTCTTGAGAACCCACTGGAGAACTGGTCCAACCCAGAACTCCACGAGGCTTCCATCCACTATCAGCCAGAGGTTCCCCCTCAAACCTGCTCCCCATTTGTTAGCACAAACACCCCCAATCACCCCCACATCAAAACCTTCAAAAGAATGTGGAAGCTAAGAGAGGCAGAGACTTATTGGAAAGAACATTGAACCCGGAGTCAGCAGATGTGGGTTCTAGTCCCGACTTGGGCTTCTCTGGCCCTCAGTTTCCTCATCTATAAGATGGCGAGTTGGACTAGATGATCTACAAGATGTCTTCTAGCTCTGCCTTGCCAAGCTGCTGGAGGCCGCAAGGGTAAAGAGGAGGAGCAGACAAGCCTGGGACGTCTTCAGGAGCCCCAAGAGCCCCAGAACGGAGTCCGTGGAGACCCAGGCACAAAGAAAGTAAAAGGCAGATAACTGTCTGCCCAGACGTTTGTCTCAACGCTGCCCTGAGGCCGAGAGACATCCGGGGGGGCTTCTGTGAGAAAAAACACTTTCAGAGAACCTCTGGTCGCCAGTGAGAAGAGGAAGGAAGCAGGAGAGAAAAGGAGAACATCACAAGGCGTTGACCCCAAAGGCAGACGCCCCGGAAAGGGAAGGAAATGCTCTTTCCTCCTCCCCTTCCTCCAGATAGCCCCCTGATAGCTGAGCTGCATACACTGTACTCACAGCAAATGCAGCTGACCTGGGCCAGTCTTAAGGTTTCTTTGTGTTACTCAGTGGAACAGACCTGTCAGTAAGTGTCCCTAAAAATCACCCAGCCTCGTCTAAAACCATCCAGCGTATGGCTGGGCAGCCCGTGCACTGCACAACTCCAGGGAGCCCAGTGTACTGGCCATGCCTGCACTTCCCGCCTGCCTTCTTCTCTCAAGTAGCCCTGCCCAGGGGAGTGAGCTGCTCCTGGGCCCACAGTCCCAACACAGCAGCATGTGTCCACCATGACGGTCCTTCGCCAAGCACGGCCCTGCTGCTCCTGGCACTAAAGCATCTTCCTCACCCGCGCCAAGAGCTGCACCACAAAAACCACCACCAAAGAAAAATCCCTGCCAAGAACCCTACCACCAGGACAGGCAGCTTCTGTTTTCTCTTTTATATTTCTAATGTCCACAGTGGCCATGAATAATGTTTATAACAACAAGTTAAAAAAACTTTTTTAAGGAATCCCATCACGAAAATGTCTTGGTATTGTAACTGACATGATCACCATCATCACTACTTCAATTACAAAACTGTTGTAGAAAAAGGATTGGGATTTTGAATATACCCACCAAATTTCACTACCTTCTAAATTCAACTTAGTAGAAAGATTTTTTTAAGGAGATGTAAAGTCACAAGATTGGGCTGAACAGAGGAGACACCACCAAAAAAATTTTGGAGTTTGGAAAGCAGACTTGCTTTCCAGTTAAATGTCAAAGAGCACATGAGAACTGATTTATAACAGAGTCCTTAAAAGACACTTGACATGATAGTACCAGGTACCTCCGAGACCAGGGGGGAAGAGAATGCACGTGTGAAAATAAAGAGGACTGAATGAAAGAAGTAAAATCCCTAGATCCGCCCCCCCAGAAGTCTGAAGGTTTATTCTCTGGAGAGCACAAAACAGAGGGTCTTTGTACAGAGAGTTAGTTGACTAGCACAGTTGGAGCAAAGATAACATAACAAAACCAAGGAGATGAAGACTATGTTAAACGTTGAGGTTGAGTCTCTCCGGCTACTCCCCAACTGGGCTCCTAGAACGCTGGCAGCCAGACCCTTACCTTCTTCTCTGGAGAATCTAATCAGTCTAAGAAGAAAGGCCTAAGGATACAGATACTGACACCAGAACCCAAATGTTGTCCAAATGGCTTGTTTAGGTCAACCATGGTGGATCTATAAGTCAACAAGCCCCACCATCATGCTCAGAGTTTCCAATCAGCTTTTAGTCCCCTGTACTTAATCCTGAAAGGACAACCTAGGAGCACTAGACATCTGAGGGAAGCTTCTAACTCAGAAGATAGAGAACAAATAAACCAAAACCAAAACCAAACAAAACACAACTTGGAGAAAACAGACTTTATGCACAGAGAAGATACTATATTCATGAAACAAGAACATGATGCTCTAAAAAAAGAACATTCAGAGAACTAAAAAGAACTCCTAGAAATAAAAATCATGCCAGTAGAAATGCAAAACTCAATAGAAGGGATATACTGAAAAGAAAAATAGAAAATAGGAGAGGATGGAAAAGAGAATTGGTCCAGAAGTTTCCACATCTGAAAAATAGAAGTTACAGAAAGAAAAAAACAGAAGGGAGAAAATTACCAATGAAATAATTCAAGAGAATTTCCCAGAACTGAAAGACAGCAGTTGCCTGATTGAAAAGGCCCACTGAATGTCCCACACAATGGATGAAAACAGACCCACACCAAGGCACATCATTGTGAAACTTTAGAACACTGGGACAAAGAGAAGATCCTACAAGTTTCCAGAGAGGGAGAAGAAAAGTGACACATAAAGTTTCAGGAATCAGAATGGCTTCAGACTGCTCAATGTTAATACGGAACACAAGAAGACAAAGGACCAATACCCTGGAAATTCTTAAAATAATTCTCCAATTAGAATTCTTTACCCAGCCTAATTATCATTTAAGTGTGAAAGAATAACGATGTTTTAAGACAATCCTTTCTCAGGAAGCTTGGGAAGATCATGGGAGGATGTCCTCTAAGACACAGGAGACAAGGGAAGGGAATCTCCAGGATTAAGGTGAAAAGAGGCCAGATGAAGCCACAGCGGGCCACCATTCAGATCTAAGCAGTGTGACTCCAGACTCAGTCAAGTGTGTCATCACCATGTCCTCTACCACTGAACCATCTTTCTAACCTGACAGAACTACAGGTGTCACTCACCATCCGTACTCTGCTATCTGAACTCAGGAACCAAATGGATCTGGATATTGATGGATATCTGTCCTGGATGATGTGCTCCAAGTGGGAGAGTAAACCAAGTAAGAGGAAGACATGAGATCCAGAAAACAAGGACTCTAACCATAAGGAAGGCAAAAGGAATGCCAAGGATGACCACAAAAGGAAGTCACAGAATGGCAGCTACAATGTGCCAAATACCCAGCGAGCAAGAGAGTGGATAACTCAAAAAATGGAACTGAAACATATAATACTTGATGAGACTGTCCTCGCGGAAAGCTATACTGACAGCTATCAGAAGGTGTGGCAGGAATTAGCAAGAGGTACAAAGAAAATAAAGCAGATGAAAAAATAAAGCAATTATTAACTTCA